CCTTTGAGAAACGGCTCCCAAAAGCTGCAGGACTAGATCACATCCTTGCAGGATGCTCATGTCCCCAGCGCTGGAAGGGCTGGATCAGGTGTAGAGGAAGCTGTGGAGAGCAGAAATAACAGGGAACCGGATCCTCCAAAGGGAGATATCATAGGCTTTTGCATATTCAACAATATCTATCATCAGTCCATTGCTCCATGAATATGAATGATTATTTCATGAACTGAAGACTAATACATTAATATTAATATTTAGCAGTTCCAACATGCTATTCATTTGTAGTTCAAAATGCTTTACAAAAAGGCAGAATGTCCATTTTCTTGGTTTTAAAGACTGAGAAAGTAATGAAGAAGAGGATGAAATGAAGTAGCAGTCCAATGGAAGGATGCCCTGGCAATGCCAGGGATATACCCACTGGGCATTACAATCTTCAGGAATGTATTTCTGTTTGAGCTCAAGCCCTGTTTTCCTGCTAGGTTTCTATGAAGGAGTTCTGGGCTCTGCTGTGGTCTCCCAGTTAGACTGGATACACTGAGAATATTGTTTTCTTTCCTGAAAGTCTTTTTAATGAAAAAATGCAAATTCTGTTGGAGTGAACTGTATAATGAATTTGTGATAATTTTGCCCAATGCTTAGCTTTGGAGAAAGCTGGAATATAATTGTGTAAAAGCACTCAAAGGTCTTGTTTTGACATTTTCAAAGGGTACCCTTTCAATTCCTACTCCAAGCTTTCTTTTAATTGTATAAGTGGCTCCAAGGTGTTTTTGAGAAATCAATGAGATGAATGGTTTCAATTTGAAACATAATGTTTTATATGACCCACTCTATCTCTCTTTCAGCTTGTGACTTGCAAAAAGCTTTATTTTTAAAGCCTATTTTAGATCCAGCACCAAGTGATTCTTAGTTTTTTAAAATTGCCAGTAGACAAAAGTTTTCTTCCTTATGAGACCCTATCTCTCTCTTCAGTGCCTCCATGCATATAAAATATGGTTAATGATTTCCTATGTCATGGAAAACCCAAGACAAGGGGCTCGAGGGCTTTCAAGCTGCTTGGAGATGCTCTCCTGGAAGGGATTTAGATCATTCCACCCATTTTTGTTAGATATGGAGCAGGGAAAGGGGTAGATATGGGGCTCCTGGAGCTGGTGAGGGACCAACCCTATGTTTCTCATGGCTTTGCACCACTGTTGTAGGGTCATTGAGGTCCAGCTTGGCAGTATGCAAGGATTTTCACACTCGTATGTGGATTTAGCTTTGCTAAACCTGCACTGAGTGCTTGGACTGAGAGTAGTTTTGAAGTCTCAGCAAGCTTAGCTCTCCCTTCTGAGCTCTGGTTCCCTCGAGTTGAGCCTTGTACGCGAGCACAGTGCTCGGCAGGTACTAATCTGCAGCCTTTGACGTGTGCCCTGTGGGGCAGGAAGCGTAGAGAATCTCCAGGTCAAGTGCTATTGTTGCACCCACCTTCCTCACCATCTTGGCAACCTCCAAAGTGGTTTTCGAGCGAGGATTTGCTTTTTTTTTTTTGCTGTTTTGCTCAAGTTCTTGAAGCTTCTGAAATGAATTCTAAGGGAAAATGTGTAGTATTTTTGGGACTCCATAGAAACAGCGCAGCTCCTCTGGGACAAAGCTCGCATAGTTGGGGGGATTATGCTGGAAAGAGTTTAAAAGAAACTCAACTGGAATGCAGAGGTGCCAGGGATGACAACTCTGCTGCTGCTCCGTTGCTCACAGCTCCGTTCTGCTGACCTAAGTGATTCTGCAGCTTCCAGTGAACTTTGGATGAGAAAACAACCTTCCTGTTTAATCAGATCCAAGTGAGCAGGTGTGTCTGCCCCAACCATTCCCATGCACATTGGGAGGGAAGGTTGCGTGACAGCCCATTGACTGCAAGGAAGATCATGTCCCATGGTGTTGTCTTCATGCCCTGAAGCCCAGGCAGGTGACAGGGGCTTACTGTTCRCATGGGCAGCATGAAGTCCCCATCCAGAGCTGGCAGCCTTGCTCAGTTGTATTTATGGTGGTATCAAGAGGGACATCTACAAGTGGGASCCTATAGAGCCGTGCTTGCTGCAAACTGGGGATATCACAGTCCTCCATCCAGGATGTGCTGTTTAAATAGACAGGACATGAAGAATGAGGAGAAGAATTGCAAAAGCCTTCAGAAGTGAAGCATGGGGTGGCCATGGAGAGCAGCAGGACTCTGGCAGCCTCCTCAGCTGCGGAGGGGAAGCGTTGCAGGAGCTGCTTGAGCACTGCCTTGTGCTCTTCATGCTCCRCGGAGGCTTCGTGGTGGGGAAGGGTTCCCAGTCGTGCATGAAATAAATGCTGGTGGTCAGCAGATGAATCACTAACGGTGACTTCAAAGGCAATCCTATTCATGAGAACTCATTTTTTTTCTCCTTAATCAAGGTACTTTCCATTTCTATCAATTAATTACCAGCCAGAGCTATTGTTATATTCTGCCTAATGACTGCCCTTCTCTTGTCATTCTTGTTTGCACTGGTATGAGAAACTAATTTAGAGAGTAGGCTGCAGCAGGCTCAYGTTACAGTGTCACAAAGGCGGGACAGCAGGTCTGATAGAAAATGTTCCTGTTACAGTAGTTGCAAGTACGGTCTCGGTTGGAAAAAGGCTGGTGAATTAAATGGGGAGTGCACGGAGCTTGTGCYGGGATCTGCAGAACTGGCTTAGCCAAAAGGATATTGTTTATTTGGGTTTTGAGTTTACTTAGCTTGGGCAGTGAAACTTGTCTGGCCAGTTTGAAGCCTTTCACTTCCTTGTTCTTTCACTTGAAATGTGTAGGGAAATAGATCGTTTGCAAGGGAAAGCTAAAACCCCATGGTAACTTTTTGCTGAAAAGAGGGAAAATAACTCTAATTTTAGTCAGGTGTGTACCTGAGAGAAAAAAGTTGAATAATTTACTAAAGGACCGTCCAATGTGAGGCTTTATCACAACCTTAGAAGCAGATTGTTTCAGATGTTCCAGAGATGCAGAGAGAATATTTAGAAGCTCTTGGTCTCCATATTAAAAGGATGAAGCTAAATAAACGAAGAGGAAACTTGACATGAGTAATTAGCTACTATTCAGACTCTATGTATTGTGAATATACTTTCTCTCTGCCCTTGTTTTAGCGTTTGCACTGGTCAGACACTTGTGCAATTCTCCAAAGGAGAGCGTCTCCTTGGAGAAGAGCGGTTTTGGTGACACTGAAGTTCTYGTGACCAGCAGAATGGGTTGCCTTTGATCTTGGCATAATTCAGCTAAGATCTCTGTTCTCCAGGAAGTTTCTGCCTTTGCAAATAAGACACTTTCAAGGTGTTTTGGTGGCTAATGCTGGCAGCACTCCAATTCAATGGATGTTTTTGAACTTGGCTCAACTGAGCAGCAGCTGTTTGGATGCTGGAAACTGAGATTTTTTGCTGTTGYTCAGATTTTGAGGCTGGCCCAGGCTCTCTCTCCTCAGCTAATACTGAACCTGGACAGGGGATTATATTTTGGCTGCTCTCCTCAACGTGGCTTTCCCTTGCACATTTCCAGGGATGATCTCTCATGTGATAGACATCTGTGGGCACTGGAGGAGAACACGGAGAATACTGGCCAGGCTGCGTCTGCTTCCAGTAAGGAAGTTGGACAAAGTGGTTCCTTGTGAAGATGAAATAGGTGCTGCTGCACCTATAATGGGACATCAGCAAAACCTCTAGGCAGCTGCAATGTCTGCAGAAATGGGAAAAGTGTTCCACATCCTGGGTTTTGCAGGTGATAAGTGTTGCTGGTGAGCAGGGAAGGATGCCCCTGGAGCTGATCCTGGCATGCGAACAGAGCCCGTGGGTCACTGTGGAGCATCAGGTGGGGGTTTATTCCCCACTGTCCTTGTCGGAGTGTGCTTGGCTGTCCCTGCTCTCACGGAAAGGGTCAAGCAGCAGCACCAGGCGTGCAGCTGTGCAGCAGGGCAGCTCAGCCCAGGGGCCGCCCGGCTGCCACACTGCGCCCTTGTGCACCAGGATTACCGCAGGAATCGGAGCCGCTGCAGCGCAACGGGCACTGGGGCAGCAACTGCGGGGGTCCGTGTCCCCCCCGCCCCRTCCCCAGCCCTTCCCAGGGCATGTGCTGGCGCTCGCACGGCCCCGCTGTGTCGGATCGGCACAGCTGGACGCGCGCCGCGGCTAATCCGTCTGCGCCGCGCGCCAGCTGCCCGCGCTCCCCGGCGGGGCCGTGCGCGGGGCACAGCCGCCCAGGTGCTGGGGGGTGATGTGGCCCCCGAAATGCAGAGCGGGGTGTGGGGTGGGGGTGCTGAGAAGCTGTGGGTGGTGGATTTGGGTGCCCCTGCACTGGGGAATTTGCTTTTGTTYTGCTTGGTCCAGCCGCCTCCTCGCCTCTGCCCCTGGACATTCTCAGGATGTGGCACRTCCCAATCCTGGCTTCATAAATCCTTGCATCTCCTGTTGCGTCTGTGCTTGTGAAAGGGGAAGATGCAAGGCTTCCTCTTCACTATCATCATCACCATGTCTGTCTGCTCTGGGCCAGCAGCGCTCGCAAGCGCAGTCCCTGCTCCAGCGCATCCACATCGTGCCCCTGTGTTGCAGGTGCTCTTCCCTGTGCACTTTAATACTTTGCCTGAAAATGCAAGGCATTCTCTTCCCCTTCAATTCTGGAGCAATTAGTGGCTGAGAGTTAATTTCCCAGCCACCGGTGCTGGCAGATGGGCTGCAGAGCTGCTCTCCTGCTCGGAATGGGGAGCGCTCCCAGTGCCGCGCTCCCGGCCCCAGAACACGCAGCGCCTTTGCCTCTGACTAGGACCCCTCCTGCTTTCCAGCTTTCTGTCACCACGCTATTGTTTTATGACTTGATACCTAATTTATTTTAATGACAACAAATAATTTGGCAAGCGCTTTCCATCCTTGTTCTGGCGAAAGGCTGCTCTAAGGTTGATTAAAACTATAAAGTTGGAGGTGGGAGGGGGTATTTTTTGTTCTGTTTTTTTCCTCTTTTCTTTTGGTAGGAATCAAAAGACATCAAAGAAATCTCTGAAAAAGTACCCCTGCCACCCTGTGTCCTTCGGCCAGAGCTGTCTGGCAGAAGAGAAGCCACCAGAAACTCCTATCAAGAGCAGGATGTGTGATGTGCACCCCTGGTACCCATCAGGGCTTGGCTGAGGATACCTCCCTGCTTCTCTTCCTGCTCTCTCCTGCTTTCCCATCTGTCCAGCTCATCCATTCTGACACAGTTTTTTCATAAAACCCAGGAAAATGATGGCAACTGATCCTGCTTTGCCATCCARGGAGGCTTGGGAATAAAACTCTGCTGCCTGAGCAGGGCCAGTTGCTCTCCATGGCCCTTGGAGACCCTGAACAGTGTCACCAAGGGAAGCTGTCATTTTGCATGCAGTGGGGTAACTCCATCAGTAAAGCACCCGAATACGTGGCATTAATATATGCTGCAGGCAGCAGAAGCCTTTAGGGTTTGTACCTACCAGAGAAGCAGCAGAGCCCTGAGAGGGACAGAAATATTGTTTAAATGAGGTCCTCTCTTCCTCCAAGAATTGTGGTTCTGACTTCTTGCCTAGCTGCTAGGCCAAGCCACTGCCCAGGCTGCAGAGAGACCCCTGGGCTGCAGAGGCTTCTCCTGGAAAAACTCCTTATTTCTTCTGGGGTCCTGGGGAAACTTGAAGTGGTTTGGTTTTTTATTTCTTATCTTTTTTTTAACTTATCAGAATAAGAAATGAGAGACAAAGCGGAGCAAAACCAGATGCGTTAATCGAACATAAGCTCTGCAGTCCCTGCACGTTTCTGATGTGAAGTTGGCGCTGCTTTATCAAGGCTTGCGACAAATGGGGCCAAAAGCCTCGAAATCTGCAGTTGTGCACTGCTGGAGCCCACAACACTTGACTTTTCTGCTCCGATTCGTGGGCAGGACGGGAGCTGCTGGCCCATGGGGACACGATGGCCCCGGCAACAATCCCTCCTTGTCCTGCTGGAATGTGAACCCACGCCGGAGACCCGAGTGGGACACAGGCGACACCTCCTCTGTGGAGAAACCAGCTACTTGGAAAAGAATGTTGCCTCTGTAGCATTTCTTTCCTGGAGTCCCRAAATTAAACAAAATGAGATTACAAAGGAGGCCGTGAACCGAACAGCGTGGTGTGCAGAGCTGGTGGGAACAGCGTGGTGTGCAGCCCCTGGACCTGGCTCTGGGGCTCACCCTCCACCTCTCAAAGCTTGAAAATATTTCCATGGAGGATGCTCAGAGGGGACTAATTCTAAGGAAAGAATGGACACTAACTAATGCAAATATTAAGCTAGCTATTACTGGCTGAAGCCAGAGAGAATTCACTTTATAGTACTAAGACTTCAAATAGGCAAGAGCTTGCTGCAGAGTGGAGCAAACCTCTTCCCTGTGTCCATCAGGGAAAGGTGCAGCAGTGGTAGGGGAGCATTGTATCGTGAAGGCTTTATGATAGAGCAGTGTCTCTTGGAAGGACTTGAGCGCTGGGAGAAACGGTTGAGCAGGATGCGCTTGGTCACTCTTTATTCCGATCCAACCTGTTTTCCGTGGTTCAATGGCAATACCACGTGGCTGCTTCTTGCAGCTGCTTGCAGAGCTGCTTCATCCAGCAGACGTGTCTGCTGTCGCCCTTGCTGACAGTGCTGGAATTGCCATCGGTGCCCACTGGCCTGTGACTCCCTTCCTGCAGAGTTAACTCCTGTGTAAATACGGAGCAGGAGCCCCGAGCTGCTCCGGAGCTGTCAGGCCCAGGTCTTGTGCTCTACGTGGTGCCTTGTTTGGCAGCCAACAGAGCAACCAGGTCAGGCTTTGCAGGGTGCTTCTCCAATGCTCACKAAGCATTTGGGTTAGACCAAATATAACCAGTTGGAAAACCACCGGTCTCTGGTGGAGGTAGCCAAGATAGAGGTGTTTCCCTCTGCTTGGATAGCAGTAAATGGAATAAATCAAATCGGTCAGTGGCTCTTTCTGGCTTAAACTACCCATGGTCAGAGACCTGGAGGTTCCTTCCGCAGCCAGGATTCCCACACTCAGACCTTGCTGCAGGAAATAGGCTGGTTGTTCCTGTCCACAGCCAGGTTTCCCGCAGTGGGTTCAGGCTGAGACAGCAGCCACCAACACTGCTGTGGAGATTATAGTGCATATTTTGGTCTTTGCAAAGATTCAAATCATTAAATACRTTTTGCATGTGAATTATAGCAATCCTGGCGCCTGCCTGCTTTCCCAGGCATGCCATATTTGTGGCTTAGTTGCAGGCAGTGCTAATAATTGCAGTTTCATATGGAAGGGAAGGCATCAGAATCCAATAACAAGGATTTGATGGGAGAGAATACCAGTAAGACCAAGGTCATAAAAATACCATACTCAAACCCAGCTGTTTATCCGTTTCCTCCATTGCTCATCATTGTAGTGTCTGCTGACTGAATTATCTTTTTTCTCTTTTTTTTTAATCGGAAGAAAAGCAGCCTGGCAAGCGGAAAAAGATCAAGCTCGGAAGAGGATGAGAGGTTCTCCATGGAAAGAGCAGTTTTTCTTTCCAGCACCTCTGTGCTGAGCCCTGCTGGTGCCGGGTACGGGGACGTCGTGGGTATTTGTGACTCTCAAACACAGGTCCTGGCTAATTGCAAATATTCCTCCCGCCCGGGCTCGCTGCAAATTRAGATGTTTCCACTAAGGAGGTTCAGTTTCCCCGATCAGGTAAGTCATAATTAGGCAGGGTCTTCCTCAATTAGCTCCGAATATAACTTGACCTGCCGGTGGTTAATTAGGGACTGCCAGCCCAGGAGGTTGTTTTTAGCTGTGCCAGAGACCTGCATTTYCCACTGTCTCCAATGCTCCAAGCACGAGGCTCCAGCTGGGATGGGGACAGTCCTGGGCTCTGCAGCAAGAGGCACCTTTGAGCCCTCCTGGTTCCCAAATCCAAGAATCCCGATGGATTTCCTCCTTCCCCCCACACCAGAGGGCTCGGAGGAAGAGCTGAACGTGCTGCCTTTCCCCCATCCTCCTGCTTTTTGGCCAGCAATTTCCAAGTCGATCCCAAGGCAAGGGGTGATTTGGAGCCCCCTGAACGACCGTCAGGAAGGAAGACAATAATGATTTTAAATGAAAATAGTTACAAGTGGGGAGTCGCCGTGCCGAGACATAACTCACTTCAGACTGCCTGTCTTGCAGCTATTTGCCAATTCCTTCAGCATGTAATCTTCCCATTTCCTACAGGCGAACTCTTTTTTGCACACTTATAATTAGGGGCATTTTTTTCCCCTCTCTCTCACTAACCTCAGGCTCCAGRCTTGCAGCTTCCGAAAGCAGCTCACATCCCATTAAAAACAAAATATATATGTGTATATAGTTTGCTATTACCCCAGTCTTTGGGGAGAGGGGGCTGGGGAAGGAGGTTGCAAAGAGCATCCCAGAGCACGCGGGGAAGGAGCAGGATCCAAGCTGGGGTTGGAGCTGCCTGCTCTGGGAATGGCTGGGATCTGCTCTGGGAATGGCTGGGATCTGCTCTGGGAATGGCTGGGATCTGCTCTGGGAATGGCAGTGTCACGGAGAGGCTCTGGACTCAACTGCTCGGCTTTGGGAAGCCGAAACCTCGAGCAGAGGCGGTTTCCCCTTTATTGCTTTGGGGATTCGACGTGATTACATACATTAACTTGTGGTTTTTCTCTTGTAATTGCTGGTTACTTCCTAAAAATGTGTATGTGTGGATGTGCACACACTCACAAATATATATAATATAAATATATATACATAAAAATATATATAACATATATATGCACATATGGGTTATATGTATATAGAGACAGAAGCGTATATATAAGATTATCAAATTTCATTGCACCTTAATAGAAGATCCCATCAAACACCAGCCACAGGGACCCTGAAAAYAGTCCCTGGGTGGACTGAAAAGAGGAACAATATTTATGTGCCTGTTTCTTATTGACTTTTGAAGGCTCTGGGGTAACATAAAAAGCAGGCCGGCACCAGAAGATACCTGTTTGGCACGGTGGGAAGCAGCGAAGGAGACCCGGGGCAGCAGTTTGATTGATGCACGAAGGAAACAGGCCAGTTCTGCTCCRTTTTCTCTGACCTACTAAGTGCTACGCGAATCAGCAGTGGGTTTGTAGGGAGGCAATCTCAAAAATCTGACAATATGGATATTTTTTGATTAATAAAAATCACCTATTTTGATAATCCTCTAGATGGAGAGGAGATGTAAAAGAATATTCTAAAAGAATATTCTATAGGTGTTTGTTCAAACTTGTACTGTTTTTCTATTATATTAATCCCATTCTTCAGGGATTCTGCTGCTCTTCCACAGGGACAGGGAAGGATTTATTTTTGACCCTTTAAGTATGATTTAGCTTCTGGTTTTGAGATTTTTTTTTCCTCTCTGAAACAGTGGAAATTGGCCACGGCTCGAAACAGGATGTTGAGCACAGCACTTGTGCTCCTCGTGGTATTAAAATCTTCTGGATGCCTGGCGGATAGATCATTCCTCCATGCTCTGGGTTAAACAAACTGTCAGATTTAGGGTCCAGAACTCATTTCTATCAGGTCAGAAGAGCAAGGACTACCGGGTTCCTTTGGAAAACGGAGATGAGCTGTTGTGTGGGATTATGAGGGGTTTTACCTGACAAATACCCTGCCTTTGCAGGGACCTTGGTGTTAGTGATGCTCTTGCCCAAGCCAGCTGCCTTCTCCAGCGTGTTGCAAGGCCTGGGGTGAGGGTGACAGTGAGGGTGACAGATGGGGGTGTGAGGTGGGGAGGCTCTGGGATCCTTCCCGGATCTCAATATTCCACCAGGATGTCAAGGGGCTGCCTGTGCTTGGTGACCCTCTGGACTCAACTTGCTTAGATCTAAGGCTGTATTGGAGCTGGCATCAGCACAGGGATGCTTCATCAGGCAAAATATTAACCTGGCCTCAGCCAAAGCCTTTGCTACTCATGATAAAGGAACTTGTGAGCTGATTACAGATGGGGTGCAGCCTTTCGAAGAGCATGCAGGGTTGTTTCCTCCCTATGCGCTACTCTTTAAAATAGAATGATTAAAAAGGACAATTAAATGAAACCCCCCAGATTGCCCCATATAATCTGTGTCACAGGATTGTGCATTCCCTGCACAGCAGCAGACCCCATGGGCCCGGCTGAGGTTTGTGCCGCGGCACCGCTTGGCACCAGGAGGCTCCAATGGGCTCCRAGGATTAGCCGGCAGCGCTTGTTTTTGGGGACTATTGCTGCGGGAGCAGCTCCTGCTGCTGCTCACGAGCTTTTTGCAGGAAAGAGGCTGGTCGCAGCCCTGGCACCGGGTCTAGCAGATGCCATAGGGCTGAAATGGGCTGTCTGATGAGCTCTAAGATGAAACCTCTCACCGTGTGAGTCGATGCATTTTGGGAGAAGCCTCTGCCCGTGACTGGGGTCGTGTTGACGTTGGTCACCCAGAATGAATGCCTCCATGCACAGCCCAGAGCTAGTGTCTGCTCTGCAGGCTTCACAAGCTAAGAAAAACGTTAAAATGAAACTTTGGAGCCTAGCAGCTAGTTCAGTGAAGGAGTATGAAACGGTCAGYAGGATTTTGTGTTTGAAATCTATTAAACTTAATTAAAATGAATGCAGCTTTCACCGTCCTGCCCTCTAAATGCTTTCTAAGATGCCAGCTCTCATTTGGGTGGTTCTTTGTGCTGGTCTCTCATCTCACCCCATCACTTTGCCCTGGGCTGTGGAGCTGTGGGACTTCGAAGCTCGCTTCTCTAATCCAGAACACAGTTGCTGTTTTGGTGTCGTTTGTTCTATYGATACCAGTTTTGGAACAGCGATGGTCCTGTCTTCCAGGAATCTCAGCGCACAATCAAGACTCGTTTTTCCAAAGAGCTTTTTTGCCCTGGAAACTGAGTCTAATCACAGCCTTTGCCACCAACCCCATAACCTCTCTTGACAGCTCAGGAGCACACCGAGGCTGCTGGCTTTCCATTGCTGAGAGCAATATTGCTGCCTGAGAGCCTRGCAATACGAGGATATCTAAAGACAAGGAGAGACGAGGTATTTGGAGGTTGTTATGCCATGTCCCAGAATGATCAATGCTTAAATACCTGCATTACAGCTCCATCCTAGAGAGCCCCTCGGAGTTKGGAAGGAGGCCAGTGATGGGCACCAAAAATGACTGAAAATGTGAAAAGGTTTCAAGTGAAGCTGCTCAGCTTGGAGCAAAGCGAAGGTGCTTGGCAGGATATTTGCACAGTACAAGCAGAGAAGGTCTCATGGGCTGCAGACTTAGATTGGAGGCTGTGGGGCTGGGGAGCAGAGGCGCCCAGCAGACGCCGTCGCGCAGCCCWGCACATGCCTCAACTCCCGAACCGCGAGCGATTTCCACGGGCTCGTGTCACGTTTCCAGCCCAGCCCTGCCCGGGTGACATGCAAAGGCGGAATCATTCTCCGCAGTTCAAGACGACGGCAAAAGCGCTGCCTGCACTAACGCATTAGCGCTTAAATCCCTTCATTCCTGCGGAGTGAAATGGATACCGGTAATTATTAATGGACAATAAACTCGCAGGCTGGAAAGGCAAACTTCATCTGGCCACGGACACACCGGTATTTACAAATGTGTCTGGCCAGAGGAAAAATTCCACGGAAATCGTATTGCTTACTCTTGTTTTTTCGAGCAAATGCTCTTGAATATTGTTTTAATGAGAGCCCTGGTTTGCTTAGACAGGGAAATTAAATTGTTCTGKGTATCAAAGGGTCAATAAAAGTGTTTTCAGTTGCTGCTGCTTTATGGTGCTTGAAATACACTGCTGTGAGAAGATGTGAGAATTCACTGAAATATCAATCATCAAGGGAAAAAATGGTGAGTTTTTTCCAATTTCGCATCTTTTGAGTTGGCATTTTTGATCACAAGTGTCAGTAATTTTTGCTTTTGTTTCATTTTTTAGAAATGCGTCCATTTAAATCTTTCAAAGCCGTTCATACAGTGACCTCTCCTTTGACATTCTTATGCTTCATTTTGGCTTAAAGAAAAAAAAAAAAAAAAAACTTCAAAATATTGGAACTTCCAGAAATTGAAAATCTCTTAATCTTTGTCAGATAGCTGTTCATATAAAAGCCCCATGGCTGGGGACATTTATTATTCTCTGCTCATGGGCATGTCCATGTCACGTTTGTCTGGAGCCTGGGCAAGAGCTGGTTCCCTAGGAATTAGCTCGTGAGCAATGTCATCTACTTAAGACCATTCCTTGCAGCAATGGGGAGAGACTGTTCATGGAAGTGACAGATTGGTCTTTGAGCGGGAATATCTATGAGCTGCTCAAGCAAATTAGAGGCCACCAAGCAAATTATTTGGTCACTGCTTTAATGACTGCAGGACGTTGTTCCAAGGTTTCTGATCTCCAGGGTTTGGATATTGCAAGGTCAGGTAATCGCCCGGCTTTTATTTAGCTCTGGAACTTTCTCTTTGCAGCTGATGGATTTTAGGCCGCCACAGAGGGCCAGGTTTATGCCCCACCAGCTGCTACAAGGGGAATAGAGAAGGACATTTTTACTGG